TGAGTTAGTCAATGTCAAACAAAAATTTATTAGATCCGTTTGATTATGTTTTGAATTGGTTCTTGGTTTAAAACTTAAATATGTAAATGTTGGACGTTTTGGACATTCTTCATATAGATAATCTTGAATATTTGAATATAAACCAGAAAATCCATCATTTGTATCACATAAACAACGAAAACCTTGAAGACAATCACATTGTTCGAGAAAATAATGAAATGTTTCTTCAATTTGATCAAATTGTTGTTTGTATGCTTGAACACCAGCATGATAAATATCAAATTGTTCATTGCTATTATCATTATCATTATGCCAGTGATCTTGCAATGTTATTGATGAACGTGGATTAAACGTTGATTTTGTTCGTAAAAAATCTGGCCATGATTGAATCGATTGTTCAAAATTTATCGGTTCAATTTCTTGTTTTTTATTATCATTATCAAATTCTTTCAAATAATTTAATTTTTCATTATTTCCATTTGAACAATCTATGTATTCTGTATTCATGTCTAATTCACACGATAGATCAGAAGAAGAATCAGTGACATTTGACAGCTCTTTTAATGCACCTCGTTGATCAAATAAAATTAAACGAGGTGTACATTTATTTTCATTAATGTTAAAGAATGATGAATTATAAGCATTCATCGACGATTCTATATCAAAATTATTCCATAAATGTGCACCGATATAATTTGAATAATGTCCAACTTGAATTGTAACAATTTCTCGACTAGATGACGGCATAATTTGTTTTTTTGATCTAAATAGAAATAAAAACAAATTTCTGTCAAGATTGTTCATGCTTTCTTTCAGAAAGGCTAAAAATCACAAACATGACTGACTGGATGAGTGCTTTGTTTTATTGACTATCAATGAAACATGGTCAGACGTAGGTTCTACATAGTTTTGTAGAAGAATAAAAATTGCATAGTAGATCAATCGTAACCTTCTATACTGAATATGTAGAACTTAAAATTACAAAATATTTATCCATTTCCGACGGTCAGCATACGAAAAAGTAACAATTATCGCTCTCTCTTAGTTAACCGTTCCTTGTTTGCACCATATGTCACGCATCTAACATATGATCTAGTTATTAAGCAAAGACGTTAATATCTTCATCATTATATTTACTAATAATTTTTTAACTCATCTTACTGCCAATTACAAAACACCGAGAGTGAAAAAAGAATGGAAAAAACAACAACAAACAGTACACCTGTTCTATAAAGATACAAAAAACAAAAATTAAAGCAATAATGAGTTATATTATGCATTTCTTCTCGATCATCTTATATATTTATATTACTCAAAACATATACAAAAGACTGTTCTTGCTTAATAATATGCTTTTAATTCAAGCAATATGATTGTTCACAAATAAAATTACTTTTAAAAAGAAAAAGCAATGAATAATGAACAAATAAATAGGATAAAAAATAAGAAATCTGACGCGTCATCATCATTCAATTTACATCTCTTGGATTGACGCTATTATTTAAAATATGTATAGTCATTGTTTCCCTGACATCATAAAATACAAATAAACAAATTCACTGTTATGCTATTATCACTTCGTGAGAGAAAGAGAGAGAGAGAGAGAGGAGAAGAGAAAAAAAGAAAGACATATTCACTATCTAATGTTCGTATCGAATACATAATGTTGAACAGGCACTGCTTCTTGACCAGTATAAAAACAGTATGACGGTTTATCACCTATTGTTACATCATCACATTCATTGTCTACAACATTATCATAAAATGATGGTGAACGTTTTAATCTATTATTATTTAAAAATGTTGTTGTAATCATTTTTGATATTCGAATATGTTCATCATCAATATCGATTGTTTTTGAAATTTTATTTTCTGTTAATAAACGATTATTATCAATACCAAAACGATGATAATGTTGTTCATTACCAGTACCAGTGACTGAACGATCAGTATTCGATAAACTATCATAATCATTTCCTACATAATTATTATGCATGGGTATATGACTACGTTTTATTTCTAAATATTGATCGGGTCCAACAGATGTATCATGTATTTTTGTCTCTTCTTTTGACGGCATTTTTGTTGTTAATATTCGTGGTGATAGTGAATGATCAACTAAAATATAAACATTACTCATGCTTATTACAATTTTTTCATTATTTAAAAATTACATACTTTCATTTTCAACTTTTGAATTTAATGTTGTTACATCACTCATCGAAATATTAAATGGTTTTGATGGTATTTCATTTTCTTTTAATGGTGGTAAATGTAAAAGATTATTTTGTTTTAATTTATCATGGCAAACATTTAATTCTTCTATTATTTCATCATATGTCAAAGTAGTATTACCAAAATTTTGACGTAATTCATTTTTTAGAAATGTATTTAAATTATCAAATGTTTTTAAATGGATTAATTTTTTTCGATTTATTTTTAAAATACAATATGCCATTGTTAATAATACTTGTTCACCATCTAACATATATATATCCCATATCCGTAAGACAAGTTCAAACGGTAAACAATCTAAAATAATCAGAAAATGAATTTTTAACACGGTTAGAGCTGAGACATAATTTTAATCTATCGAAGTATGATCTAAGATACACTCTCAGTTCCCATGGATGATTTAACTATAAGAGTCTCGAACACTAATGAAGTATCCCTCGTACAAGGAGTAGTGGTACTGTTGACCTCACTGCAAGAGTATAGAATCTCTCGCAGATTTGTTATGCCTGTTATTTATGTGCTGAGATAGTATAAACAGATGAATTGTGAAACAGAATAAAATTAGAAAATGAATTTTTAACACGGCTAGAAGTAAGACCTAATTTGATAGACAAATCATTCATTAAATCATTAAAAATTAAATTAAATCATTCATGTGAACTGAGAGTGTATGTTAGATTATGCTTTGGTAGCTCAATGGTTAGAGTTTCCGTCCTGCTATCAGATGATCCCAATCGAGGCATACATTTTCTTTTCACATATTTATCTATCAAAATTAGGTCTCACTTCTAGCCGTGATAAAAAGTCATTTTCTAATTTCATCAAGTTCTGTTTGACAATTCATCTGTCTAAAACTATCGGAAAATAATAATCATATTTCTTGACGTTGTAAGCTCTTTGAGGCGATTGACAATAGATTTGTAGAGAAGAATGCAAAAAGGTTTATTCCCATATTCTTGAAATTTTAAGGCATGAGAGATTTTAGAAGAATAAAATTGCTGATAGTTTTTTTTCATAATTCAGTTTGGTCGAAAACAACAGAACGAATTTAATAGTGTAATGATGTACTCACCTAAATAACATAACATAAACCATCTTATTGTAAAAAGATTACTTTCCAATTGATATTGATTAAAATGTTTGTATACTTTTGGTAACATTTTTTTCATGATCTTTTCAAAATGTTCTTGAAAACGAAATAATTTTGGAAAAGATGGCACAAAAAATCCAAACGTTGTGTAGGGTGCCTTGGTTATTAATTGAGATAATGCCTAAAATTGAGACCTTTTTTTAATCTAAAATCAAAGGGTGTATGACTAAAATACTCACCCAAAATGTTTCTTCTTCAGGTAAATATAGCAGTAGAAATGCAACTATCTGATTCATGCCCTATAAAGAAATTGATTGAAAAAAACCATTGATGGGAGGTTTTATCGGCTGGAATATGGTCTATATATTCCAGTCTAGTGCACACTTACTTGACAATAGCCTATTTCTGTATTATATACACTAAAATTTTAGAAAAAAAAAGAATGTTCTAATGCCCAAACGACAAAAGATGTTCGTTCTTACCTATACGCAGCTAAAATTGAAAATAAATGTTTTTGTCGCAAACAATATCGATTGCAAAACATTTGATGATTTCGGTATGTCCGATGAACATCTAAATCAATTTGTACAAGATATGTAGATGTTAAACGGGCTTTAGTTTTTAATAGTTCATAATGTCCTTTATGAATACGTAATTGTTCGTCTAAATTCAATAGTTTTGACCAAAATGCTCCACGTAAAGATGATGGAATGCCTTTATAAATGCGTCGACGTAATTGTTCACTTTGTCGTGTGAGTTGTGTCCATTTTTGTAACATTTTTTGCCATCGTTCACTTCGTTTTATTTCATTTTGGATTTGTTTTCGTTCATTAACGGACATTGTTGTAAGTGGTTTTTCATGAATGAATCCGTAATGATCAATACAATTTGTATCCACATCGGATAAACGTTGAGACTGCATATTCGCAGCAGCAGCAGAGTCATCACCCGCCGTAGTTCCACTACTTTCGTACAAAAGAAATAGTTTTTCACGTTCGTCATTTTGCTTTGCTATCACGGTACTCGCTGGTTTATTGACTTTTGTTAATGATGGTGAAGAAGGTGGCATTGGTAAAGGAGGTGGAGGAGGAGACGAATGAAAATGTGTGTTAGATCCATTTACAATCTGTTTTTTAACTGACATTATTCTCTATAAAAACAAAAAGAAACTGTAAAAGTTTTTCTGTTTCTGACAATCGAACACTAGCTTACCAAGATATTGCTTGACTTGCACTATATTAAAAAAAGTAATCACACCAAAGCCGATATCTCAAGACATCTGTAAAATAAAAAAATATTCAATTTAGCATCGAAAAGAAAACGAACAGCACTTACTTTAATGATTAAGTTTTCCGAATACAAAACAAATTTGAGAAACTAAGTAATGCGAGAAAAAAAATCAGACCCATTTAGCTAAAATGATTTGGCAGAAGAAAAAAATATCTAGAATGTAAATGAAAAGCACGTTAAATACATGCATATACTATAGTAACAGAGCATTTCATGAGATTGTTTCGATAATGCAACTTTTTGGAAAACAAAACGCAGACTGTACTGTTTCAGAAACGTAGTCAACTCATTACATCATTTGTCTACCGTTTTATAGAAATAAGATAGATACAGAGCATCTTTCTATACATTATTTACATACAAATTCTGAGAAAATACCAAATATTTAGTTATCAAATACACCATCCAAAAATTCATATAATGGCATATTGTTAATTACACTAAATACGTGAACACGATCCAATTTTTTCCCTCCACAATGTTTCATCGACGTATAAGAATTATTTGTTAATAAACGAATAAAATGTTCGGTAGCATGAGTTAAAACTAATACACTTTCTTGGCTTATCATGTTCATATCAGGATCAAGTTTAGCGATGGCTTTTACTTTTGATAGTGGTAACTGATATTTATGATTGACTGTTGTTGTCTTTTCCTCTTGTTCTTGTTCTTTCTCAGGCTCTTTATCAACCAGTAAAATTTCCAATGTTTTTTCTTCAATATCACGCAATTGATCATCATTTCTGTTTAAAGAATCAGCAGTTATTGATGATTCCATGGAAAAATTCTGAAAAAAATAATTCTAAAACATGTCGTTGAAAACATGTCGACAAGAAAGTTAGATACAATCCGTGATTTATAAAAAAAAATATGGAGTGCTCTAGATTCTAAAGTAAGTATACTCTGACCATTTTAAACATGTCAACCCTCAACCTTATCCAAGAATATCTACATAAATCTGTTAGATCTTGATTAATCATCCGTGTACATCTGCGTGTTAGAATTTACTGAATGCAATCAGTCTCTGATCACAAAAAAGACAGTACCGACAGTCTTTGATGGTCGAAACGAACGAAGAAATAATTTTGATACAAATCCCGTAACAAACTCAGAATACGCAGTAACCAGTCATATATTCATCTAGCTGGGTTAAGATACGTGCAGGACAAACAAACAATAGGGTCGTTACAATCAAACTATTGTGTTGATCTATTGAACGTTACGTTGCTTCTAATAACTTCTGCTGCTGCTATATTATGTCTCGAAAGGCATCTATGATATAAGTTAGAGCTCATTATTATTATTTTTTGTATTTTTCTTATGCCGCCATTTTTTTAGTTCTTCGAGACCCAAAACCTCAAAACAGACGTGATTTGACGCTCAGCACGTAACTGAAATAATTTCGAAGTGTAGACCATCCAATCTTCATCAGTTGAAAACAAAAATTTGTTGTTTAAATAATTGAATTCAATAAATGAAAAACTTTTTAATAAACTTTTGCTCGTGACGAACATAAGTGATTAGACACAATGATTGTAGCGCCCTTCATTACTGTTTTTCTTTCTGCTATTAATTTTTTTGTCAAGCCAAGGCATTCATAAATTTCTATCCATAAACGCTAGAATCGTCGCAAAAATTCGAAATTTCACTTTGATAGCAGAGATTTATGGATAAAATTTATCGATGCTTTGATTTGACTTAATTTTTTCTAGTGAAAGAGTTTGAATGAATTAGGCCTTGTCTACACTACAAAAGTTAAAGGAGCTTTAAGGAATTCTATTGGCTAAAAGTTAGTTTAAGCCAATAGAATTGCTTAAAGCTCCTTTAACTTTTGTAGTGTAGACAAGGCCTTAGAAAACAGTTTTGTGTCCAGGTTTATTATCCTTGGTTGTTTCATATTTGAATTTTGACGAATAGATGCAAGAGGGCCAGGATAAGATACAGTCACTCGCCACAGTTAGTTCTGACGGTATGTTATCCAGACTATAAAAAAGTAGTTGTTGTTTTCGTTCTCTTTTCGCACACTGCTAAAAATCTTGAACAATATGGGTCAAAAGATTTCCGTTGCACGTGTTTACACGTGCTTCAAAATGTAGAGCATAACACAATAAAAATAATCACTGATAAATACAATGTGTGCAGTCTTTCAAATAGAGTTGTTTTCACTTACTGTTAATTTATTGTCAAACTTGTTTACTTGTCCAAACTCATTACTTTTTCTTTGCTCATTCTATCAAAGTGTATATTTTTAATTTCATATAAAGGTTGTTCATACGCAGAAGCCTCACTCATTTATAAATTCATCGATCATTTGTAGATTTCATTTCAATAGTAATGGCTAATTATCATAGCAATGTACAAGATTATTACAGTAAAGAATTAAAATCGACTTATGATTTAAAGACAAGTGCTTGCTGTACAAAAGGATCGACACCACATTCTATCAAAAGTATCCTAAAAGATATTCATCCAGATGTTCAAGCAAAGTATTTGATAACACCCAAATGATTATCTATGTTAGAAATATCGATTGGATCTTTTTATGTAGATATTATGGCTGCGGACTTGTTTTTCCTCCAAAGTTGGAAAATTGTAAAGTTTTAGATTTAGGATGTGGTTCGGGTCGAGATGTAAGTACGTTTTCCTTTTTTTTGTAAAATATAATTGACAAAAATTACTATGTGTAGGTTTACATATTGTCACGTCTTGTTGGTCCACAAGGTTTTGTAGTCGGAGTTGATATGACAAAAGAACAGGTAAGAGTTAATCATAGAAAAATACAGAAAAAGGATTTATGAAATTTTTTGTTTTTATAGATTGATGTTGCTCGTCAACATATTGATTATCATATGAAGAAGTTTAATTACAAAGAATCAAACGTTAAATTTATTGAAGGAAAAATAGAAAATCTAACGGCGCTTGGTATAAATGAAAATTTTTTTGATGTTGTCGTGTAAGCCCTCTGCTACTTATTTTCATAGACTAATGAAATTTTGAGTTTTTTTCTTAAGTTCTAATTGTGTGATCAATTTGACTCCAGATAAAAAAGCGGTTATCAACGAAGTTTGGAAAGTACTGAAAGTAAGACTAATGGTTCATTTTATTTTTTCTATTTTCAAATATGAATTTTGTTCTTTTTTAGCCTGGTGGTGAATTTTATTTTTCTGATGTCTATGCTGATCAAACAATATCAGAAGACTTACGTAACAATAAAATACTGTGGGGTAAGTGATGATCGTAGTATAATTGTGAATGATAAATTTAAGTTTTTATTTTAGGAGAATGTTTGTCTGGAGCTATCAAATGGGAAGATTTGGTTCTATATGCAACCGAAGCCGGTTTTACAACTCCACGACTTGTCACCGCTCAACAAATTGATATTACAAATGACGATTTAAAGAAATTAGTTGGTACGCCTGTGTACTTCTCTAAAATACTCTTTTTCACGATATTTTTTTCACATTTCTCAGGAAACATTCGTTTCGTATCGGCTACGTTTCGTTTATTCAAAATTCCATTGAACGAAGCTGAAATAAATATTCCATATTTACTAACATATGAAAGTGGAATTCCAGATTTTGAAGATGCCTTTTTATTTGATAATACAATAACATTCAAAGTATGTATAGTCAATTTGTTTCATTTATCATATGGAGTTTACATAATTTTGACTAATTATTTTCTCAACAATTTCAGCGTGGAGAATTAGTGTCATGTGGACCAACATTAGCTTCTGCTGTACTAAATTCACGTTATAGAGATAATTTTACTTTTGAACCAATTGATAATACAAAACAGTATGACGGACAAATTGTTATTGTTGAAGAACAAAAGGTAAGATATATTTTATATTTACAGTACGTTCAATTATTCTCTAAACGTACGTAGCGCTTAGAGCTTGTTTCAAGGAGCGTCCTGTATTTTTAAAATATGCTACTTGCCAAATGCTTATGTTTAAAGCGAGAAGATTAGCTTCAAGTTTAATGGAGTATCGAACTTAAAGAACTGTTCTCGTTGATGAGATGCTACAATTTTAATTAGTTCTGTAAAGGACAGGAGACGGTTTCTGCAAGAAAATGGCCCTATATATTTGTGAGAAGATAACGACTCGAACTGATCAGGAACAATTCGCTATTTAGTTTTTAATATTTCTGCGCCTTAAAAGTTGATTGTAGACTACCATAT